CTGGGGTGTGGGAGGGTGAGGGAAATGTTCGTCTCTGTGGACCAGCGAGTGTTTGCTGGGGTGTGGGAGGGTGAGGGAAATGTTCGTCTCTGTTTTGGGCGTGCAGGACGTTTGACATGCCTGTGGGACAAACTAGAAAGACAGCTAATTAACTGTGAGGACAGGCACTATACTCAACTCCAGGTATAAACAGCAGGACTTAAAAAATATTGAAAGATACATTATTACCTTCATGAAGTTTACAGTTTGATGAGGGAGTGAGACCTCGAATACTAGCTCTTCCTATTCCCTGGAACTCTCTTCCTCTTTATCTGTGGTTCTCAACCCTTGCTATGCGTTAATATCACAGTCTGGGACACTCTGAAAAAACATTAATGCTTAGCCCCATCCCAGACCAATTAAATGAATATTTGGGGTTGGGAGCTAAGTGTATTTTTTTTAAAAAACTCCACAGGTAATTCACATCCACAGTGAGGGCTAAGAACTACCTTAGATGTCCAGATTACTGATCCAAAGTGTCAACTCCCAGATAACTTACACTGAATAAATGAATATGTTTTACTGGTAACAAATGTCATTACATTTACCAGTTTAAACACAGATGAATATATGACTTCTATTCTGTAGTCACTCCAGATGGATCTCTGAGTTTTATATTCAAACTCTTAATACAGTTTTAAGTTTTGTGTGATGTGTATTTTTATTCTTCCTGTAAAATATGTAACTTAAATGAACATATTATATGTGTATCTTTTCTTCCATACCAGATTTGATATAAATGTAACATAGTGGATCCTGAACAGAAATGGCTTTATATTGAGAATATAATTCTGTGTGAGGACTTAATGAATCCAAATCTAGGTCATATCCCTGTGCATACCCAATTAAACACTCAAAATAAAAATTATTTTGGTGAAAAAAAAGTCACCTCCCCAGAAAAGCCTTCCCTGATTGCCCTGTCCAAATAGCTCCCTCCCCCTTCTACACCCCATCCCTAACAGTCTCACTGACATTCTCTTGTTTTTTCATAGTAATAAGAAGTTCTTATTTATTTGTTTACTGTCTGTTTTCCTCCAAGAGAATGCAGTGTCTTTTTCAGCTCTGTATTTCAACAACCTTGAAAAATACCAGGCACACAACAGGGTCTCAATCAATATTTACTGAATGAATGAATACATGAATATGTAAATACATGGATCAGAAGACAGAGTTGGGTGGAGAGAAAGATATTTGGACAGTAATCAAAGTCATGGGAATGATATCACACACACAGAGTTTGTCGAGTGGGAAGAGAAAAGAACCAAGAAAAATTCCTAAGGATTACCAACATTTAAGGGAAAAGCAGATGAAGATGAGCCAAGAAAGACAACTGAAACGGAAGAGCCAACAAAGAGGCAGGGGTAGATGTAGGAGCTTCAGAGAAGAATGCATTTTAGGAAAGAAACGAGCGAGAGAGAAGGAAATGTTATCAAGAAGTCAAGTGTGGCAACAATTGAAAGCATACAGTGAATTTAGCTACAGAAAAGTAGCTGGCAATGCAAACAAAAACAGTTTCAGATGGTAATGTGTTACATTAATCTCATGTCCAAAATCGATTTGGGGTCTTTCAGTAATGTGGAATACTTACACCACGGAGACTACATGAACGATGAAAAACACCTGGGCATTAAAACACCTAAAATATTAAAAACAAAAAACAAACAAAAAAACTACAGATCACCCTAAAATGCAAAAAGCACCACCCATATCCAGTTAATCCACAGGATTATTAAGACCATCTACAATAGTACACATCTGATTTTCTGATTTTCATGAAGGCTGAGATATAGGCCAGAGAAGAGTCCTAGAGAAAAAGGCAAGGATCGTGATCCTTACACGGCAACTTTAGTCTCATAAAATACGTACAACGGAAAACCAGCCATTAGGACCACCTCTGACAATTGCCAAAGCCTTTCTCAATACCATACTGAAACTGTGCATTCAGAATTCTGTCTTTCAAATGAAATCGAATGGCAACCCTGCAAAATACTGCTGATAGACTAAATACAAGATTATTTCAATGACAAACATTTTAGCATTGACTAAATGTGTTATTCAACTGTGTCCCTGGCCTCAACTCTGCGTATAATCGAGCTTAGGAATGGAAAAAAAAAACAAACACAAATGAAAAAACCCACACAAGAAATACACACACACACACACACACACACACACACACGTATATGCAGTCTTGTAATATGAGTACTGAATGAGTGGTAAAGAGGATAAAACAAATTCAGAGAAACTAGGAATGGTGGGTGAAGACGATGAAGGTGGGAATGCATGTGACACATTTGAGAAAAATAAGCCGGACAGGTTGGCTGAAATGGAGACATCTTATGGGAAGTTTGGTGAGTTGGAAAGGTGACTAGAGGCCACATTATGTCGTGGAGGACTCTGAATGTTAAAGGTGTCTGGACTTTATTCTTTAAGTGACTAAATGCTTTTCAGCAATGTAGGCAATGTGAGCAGAGTGTTGTTCTGAGAATTGACTGAATGGACACATGGACGCAGAAAGAACAACTAATTGGGCAGAGAAACGTCTTGCCTACAGACCCCATCTAGATGACTGCCCTATGCATATCCCTGTACCCTCAGGAAGCAAAATACTTTAAAACCCGATGACACGCAAACATCATACTTTTCTATTTAGACACTACACCCACTCACCATTTAGAGCACTTATCTTCATGGCTCACAAGCAATCCCTAGGATATTTACAAACAGTTCCCACTGCACAGTTAAAAACCAGCTTGGTGTTTCCATTAAGACAAGCAATTTTTTTTTCATCTACCAAAACTCTACACACAATTCATTTTGACTTTAACAATTTTGCTTGTATTTCTTTGGGCTGGAAGGAGTGAAATGACAGCTAAAACAGATCATGGAAATAAAAAACAGTCATTCTCAAGGTTTTCACTTTCAACAGGGGTAAACATTTGTTTCTCTCTGTGGATGTGTCTTTCCATAGATCTGTCACGGTATGCTCTTTGGATCATAATGAAGTTTTATTTTAAAGCACAGTAAAGCCTGTGAAAGCTGGAACTGTGTCAGGCAGAAACCTGTCCAAGAAGGAAAACTCAAATATTTTCCACTAGAATGAGCGATAGAAAAGTGTTAAGACTGCACCATGTCAAAACTGAGAAAAGTTGCAAGACCTGGAAATATAAGGCAGTCCTGTGAGTTCTGGCTCTGAAAGGTTTCACTGTATAATTTAGACAGTTCATGAACTAAAGCACAGACTCTGGAAACAGACTTATTTTAAAAAAGCTAACAAAAATGTCATCAGGAAAAAAGAAAAAAAAAAGAAAAAAGGTGCAATTTAAAAGGCCTGCATCTCAGTTTTTCAAAATAATCCCAATCTGAGGCACCTGACTTTGTAAATCAGAAAACAATGTTACTAAACTTCTGGAATGATGACAACTCATTACTTTTTATGGGAATTTATCTATCTGTTTTGCTAAGTGATCTGAATTGCTAGGGTTTTATATTTATTTTAATTAAAATTACCTTTGTTTTGAGAATTTCCAAATACAAAAATAAAGCCTAGAAATTACTCCTGAAGAGTATTAAATGTGTAAGAGCAACTACACAAAGGGCGGGTGTCTACTCAGTTGTCACATATTTTGTATAATTTACAGTTTTAAGCACGTCATGGACATCATGCTTGGTAGAGGGTCAGCAAACAAGAGGAAGACCCTTAACGAGATGCACTGACACAGTGTCTGCAACAATGGGCTCAAGCATGACAATGATTGTAAGGATGGTGCAGGACTGGGCAACGTTTCGTTCTGTTGTACACAGGGTCACTATGAGTTGGAACCAACTTGATGGCACCTAACAACAAACACATTCTATGCCAACTGATGTCAGAGAACATATGAGGCCAAATTATCTTAAATCTTCCTAATCTCAATTTTATATGGCAGGACATGGTGGTGGGTTACTATAGCAGAATAGGATTTCGTGAACTTAATATACCAGGGGAAACTCCTGGCATGAGAGAATCAGAACTAAGACATGCCTTTCCTTTAACAATCATATCCTTAACTAACCAGTTGCCATCGAGTCGATTCCGACTCATAGTGACCTTACAGGACACAGCAGAACTACCCCATAGGGTTTCCAAGGAGCGGCTGGTGGATTCGAACTGCCACCTTTTTGGTTAGCAGCCATAGCTCTCGTCCACTGTGACACCAGGGCTCCATCCTTAACTAAGGACAATAATAACGGCAAACATTTATTAGAGATTAGTATGGGCTAGTCATTAGTCTAAATAACATATGTATTATCTCATGAAGTCCTTGCACTACTTGACAAGTAGAAAATGCTAATATCCCCATTTTACAGGTCTAATTCTCTATTTTATAGATGAGGAAACAGGCAGAGTATGATGGAGCTGGGATTCAAACTTACGCAGTCTCCCTCTAGGATACATGCTCTTAATCACTCTATTTTTATAATAGCAATTACTGAACATCCTATAAAACAGATGTCATAAGATTAATTTTTTTAACGCTTTTTACCTTATAGTACATGTACCACCAGGCATGATGTACAGTAATGATTAATCTAAATACAAAAGCACTGGAACAAGGAAAACATTACAGGAAACATAACTAATAAATTTGTAAGAGCTACATGTGTTTTGCTATTTGTTTTTAGATTATTTGAAAAGGAAATAGAGTAACCAGTACTTAACAGCAGTTATTGAACTGATTTTCAAAACAATAAAAGCTCTAAGTGTAAAGTATGCACTAGAGCTATACACAGATACACAAAGAAGAAATAAAACAAGTTACAATGAAGGTAACAGCAAGGCAGTTTCGTATGCAGAGGAATAGGCTGGCAAAGCAGTTTATTTTCCCCTTTATTTCTTTTCTTTTATTATAAATTTTAAGAAAATAATTTTCATGGTTCTGGGATAAGAAAAATGACTGGCCCTCAATTTGGTAAGCATTTGCTTTTTCTTTATGGCTCTCTTTCCTTACACTCTTTCCAAATAATTTAGGGTCAAACAATTTGAGATCAAATGCGAATATATCTTGTAAGTGTGGAAGAATTTGATTGAAAAAGGGTATCAAGAAATGAGAAATTTAGGCCTGACATTCAGAAATGGAATTTACTGTAAGAAGGCCTGAGAGATAATCACAGATACCTCATGGAGATGGAGATGCACAGGAGAGGGGAACATGGAATATGGAAGGGTAAGTGAAACGGGTCTTTTCTGATCAGGCTGCAGAAGAATTTGGATGAGGCAAGAGGAGAGAGAGCTTTATAGGGAAACAAGCCGTTCTCTGAATTCCTGAGTTTTCTAAATCGGTTTCAATAGGCGCAAGGATAGAGGCGGAATCCAATTGGAAGAAAGGTCAAAACTGAGCTTAATGACAGGAGCAAACCCAAACCAAACCCGTTGCCATCTAGTTGACTCCCACTCAGAGCGACCCTACCGGACAGGGTAGAACCGCCCCATAGGGTTTCCCGGGAGCAGCTGGTGGATTTGAACTGCCGACCTTTGGGTTAGCAGCTGAGCTCTTAACCACTGTGCCACCAGGGCTCCTAATGATAGGGGAAGGGTGCAAAATGCACAAATGTCAGTTGCAAGAAAAATAAGCAAGGAGGGCAATTTAAGAGAGAAGACAGCGCTGGAGCGGCAAACGGAGTAGGGAAATGGAGAAAGGTAGAACAAGTAGGCAGGGACGACACGGGCTGCAGGGAGCGGCGGTGGTGGGGGCAGGTGTGCACCGGGAGGCGAGGGGCGCAGGGATGGTGGGGGGAGCCGGCTGGCAGGTAGAGGGAAGGCAGGAAAGACCCCGAAGACCGTCGAGGGGGTAAAGGTGAGGACAAGCGACAGAGGCGAGCACAAAGATGTAAGCCCGAGAGGGTGGCGGTGGAGGTGGGCAAGGAGGCCGGCGCGGGGAGGAGGAGGAGGAGGACCGGCGGGAGCGGGGACAAGGGCGGGGCTCTCCCAGCAGGGCAGGGGGCGAGAGGCAGGCGAGGACTCGCAGGGGATGCCGACAGGGCCAGAGGCCGCGGCTGCGAGGCGAGAGCCCTGGGGAGGTGGCGGAGGCCGAGCTCTGGGCTGGCGGACAACCCCCGAACCTACCTGACAGGCGGCGGCCGTGTCGCCGAATTATTGCCGGAAGTCCCCAGCTCCCTGCCTGGGAGCGCCGACAGGGAAATCCCCGCCCCCGCGCCGCGCTGATTGGCCGGCGGGGTCTCCGCGTGGCTGTGTTGCTACCCGGGCCGCGGGACACCAGGGCTCGCTACCGCGGTCACGGAGGCCGGCCTGCGCAGTGCGCATGCCCAGTGGGCCCGCCACGCCTCTGCTCCGCGCTTGCCCGGTCTACACACCGTGGGAAGAAAAGCGGACATGCGCAGCACCAGGGATCAGGCTGGGGAGGGAAGGACCTGGGGCTTCCTGGGAGTGGATGGATCTGCAATGCTAAGTAGAGTGTCACCCTGTGACCCACGGTGGGTATGCAGCCGACTACTGATTCACACCTAGAATAGTCCCTTTACACGCACTGTAGGAGGTCAGGTTCATGATTAATAATGCTAATGACACTTATCACTACTTAGACATAGACCAAAATAGAAGCCTTTCAATTTAACCTTTATGTTTTGATAGAGTTTGTCTGAAGGAAGTAGTGAAACATGACCTTTAAAGATGTATTTCCTCCTCTGATATTATTGTTGTGGTTGGATCTCATATTCCACAATAATGCTATTTACTATCTTTATAGAACTATATATGGAGCCCTGCTAGACACCATGCTTGGTAGAGGGTCAGCAAAAAAGAGAAAGATCCTCTACAAGATGGAATGACACAGTGGCTGCAACAATGGGCTCAAGCATAACGAGGATTGTGAGGATGGCGCAGGACAGAGCAATGTTCACTTCTGTTGTACACAGGGTCACTATGAGTCAGAACCGACTCCAAGGGCACCTAACAACAGCAACAATGGAGCCCTGGTGGCACAATGGTTGAGAGATGGGCTGCTAACCAAAAGGTCAGCAGTTCGAATCCACCAGCCACTCCTTGGAAACCCTTTGGGGCAGTTCTACTCTGTCCTATAGGGTTGCTATGAGTTGTAATCAACTGGATGGCAGTGTGTTTGTTTTTTCTGTCTCTATATAGAAGCACTTACCTGATGAAGATCAAAGACTACAGCCTTCAGTATGGTTTACACCTCAACATAAAACAAAAATCATCATAACTGGACCAATAAGCAACATCATGAGAAAAGGAGAAAATATCGAAGTTGTCAAGGGTTTCATTTTACTTGGGTCCACAATCAATGCCCAGGGAAGTAGCAGTCAAGAAATCAAACGACATATTGCATGGGGAAAATCTGCTGCAAAAGGCCTCTTTAAAGTGTTAAAAAGCACAGATTTCACACTTTGAGGACTAAGGTACGCCTGACCCAAGCCATGGTATTTTCAATCACCTCATACGCATGCAAAAGCTGCACAATGAATAAGGAAGACTGAAGAATTGATGCATTTGAATTATGGTGTCAGCGAAGAATACTGAATATACCACGGACTGCCAGAGGAACAAACAATCTGTCTTTTACAGCCACAATGCTCCTTATAAGCGAGGATGGCAAGACTTCGTCTTATGTATTTTGGACATGTTATCAGGAGGGATCAGTCCCTGGAGAATGGCATTATGCTTGGTAAAGTAGAGGGTCAGCGAAAAAAAAAAGGAAGACCTCAATGAGATAGATTGACATGGTGGCTGCAACAATGGGCTCAAGCATAACAATGATTGTGAGGATGGTGCAGGACTGGGCGGTGTTTCGTTCTGTTGTACGTAAGGTCGCTATGAGTTGGACCCGACTTGACGGCACGTGACAACAACATACAGCTATCCTGGGTGAAGTTCTTTATATATTATCTCTTTAAATTCTCCTTAAGTATCTCTTTAAATCAATCTTTAAGAATTTAAAGAGATTCTCTGTGATGATGTATCTGATACAACTCTTTGAAGAATTCTTTGCCAATGTCTGTTCTTCAGTGTTCGAGCCCTTGGAACTAAAATTCCAAATTTAGGAATTTATTGTTTGAAAATATGCACATGAGTGCACAAAGATCAAGTGCAATGATATCCATAGTAGCATTCTTGTAATCGTGAAAAGTTGGAAACAAAAGTGCTCATCAACAAGACAATGATTAAAATACATTCTGTTGTTGTTGGCTGCCAACAAACAGCCCCCGACTCATGGCAACCCCATGCACAACTGGAATAAACTGCCCAGTCCTGCGCCATCCCCATGACTGGTTGCAGATAGGACCATGTGGCATATAGGCTTTTCATTGGCTGATTTTCAGAAGTAGATTGCCAGGCCCTTCTTCCTAGTCCATCTTAGTCTGGAAGCTCTGCTGAAACCTGTTCAGCATCAGATGAGCGTTGACTGCGCATGAGATGCATTGGCTGGGAATGAACCGGGGTCTCCTGCATGCAAGACGAGGATCTTACTACTGAACCACCACTGCCTCTTAACTGTCATCTGTTGTTGTTCTGTGCCGTCAAGTCGATTCCGACTCAGAGCAACCCTATATGACAGAGTAGAACTGCCTCCATAGTTTTTCTTTATGGGAACAGATCACCAGGTCTTTTCTCCACTGGAGCAGCTGGTGGGTTTGAACCACCGACCTTTCAGTTAGCAGCTGAGTGCTCAACTACTACATCACCAAAGGAAAAGAAAAAAACCAAACCCATTGCCATCCAGTTGATTCCGACTCACAGTGACCCCATGGAACAGAGTAGATAAAACTGTCCCATAGGGTTTCCAAGGCTGTAAATCTTTACGAAAGCAGACTGCCACATCTTTCTCCCATGGAACAGCTGGTGGGTTCAAACCGCCAACCTTTTGGTTAGCAGCCAAGCACTTAAGCACTGCCCAACCAGGGCTCCTTAAATATATTGTTGTTGTTAGGTGCCATTGAGTTGGTTCCAACTCATGATGACCCTGTGTACAACAGAACGAAACACTGCCCGATCCTGCCCCATCCCCCATGACCTTTGTTATGCTTGAGCCCATTGTTACAGCCACTGTGTCAATCCATCTCATTGAGGGTCTTCCTCTTTTTCGCTGAGCCTCTACTTTACCAACCATGATGTCCTAAGAGATGTTAAATAAACATCTGGTATACTTCACATAGTGGAATAGTATGTGATCTTTAAAAGAATGAGATATACATCTATGTACAAACATGGGACGATGTACAAGATACATTGGGAGAAAAATAAAGTAAATCTCAGAACAATATGCGTACTGCAATCCTATTTTTGTAGAATAGTAGCAATAATCTATGTGTTTACAAATGCATAGGAAAAATGTGGAATAATATAACCCCAAATCTTTGCATATTGTTTTCTTCACTCAAGGGATTATGAGTTTTTTATTGTCGAAACATTTCTCTGTTATTTGAATGTTTTACAGTGACATTGTATTATTTTTGTAATAACTAAGATAAAAAGATTGAAAAAGGATTTGCATATTCTCTCTCCACCTCCCAAAACGTGGATGGACTTAAGTCGAAATCGTGAAATTTGAATGGAGAGGGGGCTGGAAAAGCATGTTGATTCCATTCATCATTCTTTTCATTCTAGTGCTGAGACTGGAATTGATCAGAATGTTGGATTCCTTCACTATGAGAAAATGACTTCCTTGAAGGCAGAGATTGTGTCTTGATTATGTCTGTCTTCGTAGCACCTACCACAGTGCCTGACACGTAAGTTTTTGATAAATGCCTATTGGGTGAATAAATTAATGAATGGACAGAATGTTACACTGTACAAAGTTATTCATCTCATTTTTCTCAGAACAACCAGGGCTTGCATGTATAGTTGCGATGTTCTTCACTGCACAAGGGTGCCAGAATAAAGGACGTAGCTGGAGTTGAAATCAGGTCAGTGCTCTGTTAGCCAAGCCTTGTGAATGCTCCAATATAGTGCAGAAATTTTTCTAATTTACACAAAATTACCATATAGTCTACAGGGCAGGTGAGACTACTCGTCCCATGTTACAGCTAAAGAAATTGAAGCTCAGAGAGTGTCTTAGTCAACAAGTGCTGCTATAGCAGAAATACCACAAATGGATCTCTTTAACAAAGAGAAATTTATTCTCTCACAGTCTGCTAGGCTAAAAGTCCAAATTCAGGGCGCCAGCTCCACAGGAAGGCTTTCTCTCGCTGTCGGCTCAGGGGGCAGGTTCCTTGTCATCAATCTTCCCTTGGCCTCGAAGCTTCTCAGCTCAGCAACCCCGGGTCCAAAGGACGCACTCTGCTCCTGGCGCTGCTTTCTTGGTAGTATGAGGTTCCTCTGTCTTTCTGCTTGCTTCTCTCTTTTATATCTCAAAACAGACTGGTTTAAGACACAATCCAGTCTTGTAGCTTGAGTCTCATCAACATAACTGCCGCTAATCCCACCTCATTAACATCATCGAGGTAGGATTTGCAACACATAGGAAAATCACATCAGATGACAAAATGGTGGGCAATCACACAATACTGGGAATCATGGCCCAGCCAAATTGACGGATATTTTTGGGAGACACAATTCAAGACTGAAAGTTAAGATTAAAACCCTGCATTTCTCACTTTCATCCCAGTTTTCTTTCCATATACTACATTCACTGAATTTCCATTCTAGTCTGAGCTACACCGATATCAAGAGCCATGGAAACAGCCAATCCCAGAGAGCTAGTCAGTTTAGATAATGAAGACAGCATCTGAGCAGCATGGAATATTTTACTGACGGCTCTTTTAGGGATATATGACCAAGAAATAAACCTACAGGTGGTAAAGGGATATTAATACCAGTGCAAGGTATTAGCAAAATTTATCGACCATAAATGAGCTAGAAGGTCTAACTTTAACTGACCAGTCTCTACAGGAATAAAAATAACTAGTGCCTCACATGGTGCCTGGCATATAGTAAATGCTAAGAACTTTTTGCATTGTCAAAACATTTCATATAGATTAATAATCCTATTGTTGTTCCTCTGAAAGTAACCTGTTTTTTTTTCCCCCAGCTGCTTTTCTGGGTGCTTCTAAGATATAATCATTGTGTTTGCTTTCTGAATCTGAATTCTCAGCTATTATCTCTTCAGATATTGCTTTTGCCCCATTCTCTCTCTCTTTTCAGTCTGGGACTCCAATTACACTTATATTAGACTCTTCCACTTTGTCAGCTATGTCTCATGTTCTCTTCTGTATTTTCCCTTAGTTTGTCTTTCTATACATTATTCTGTAGATTTTCTTCTGACCTATATTCCAGTACCATATTTCTCCCCTATAACGAGTATAATCTACTGTTAAATTTATCCATTGAGTTCTGGGGACATAGGCAGAATGAGATTATTCAGAGCTGTACTTCAGTGCCTCTAAGAGCTAATCTATTTCCACTTTACCCTCACTTCAAGTTTTAGCCTTTTGGAGCTGGATCCAAAAACATGGACGGTTTATCAGGCCCTCCACTCCTTGGCGGGCTCTGCACTCCAATTTTTGCACATCTTCCTTATTCCTCCTTCCCCAACTGTGTGTTTCCCAAAACCTCTGTTTAACTTCTCAGACTCTCAGCCACCTATTTCAGAATTGGAAGATAGTTCTACAAGAAAAGTGACCACAAATGCAGGGCCCACCTCACTGGGTTTCCTTCTTTTCCCAAATCTTGGCCCTATACTTCTGCATTGTTTTGTTAATAGTTATAATGCCTTCAAAAATATTTTTCTTTTTACAATTTGTCCAATATTTCTAGTTTTTCTCATTGGGACAGTTGATACAAATTGCCACATCTGCCAAGAGCAGAAGTACACAATCCACAGAAGATCTCGTTTGAAATTTAGTATAATTCTGAGAGGTAAGTCACATAAGATAGTGTTACACGTGCAGACTCTAGAATCCAACGGTCTTAGCTCAAATACTGGTCCTCTGGCCTGTCAACTATATGACTTTGGGCAAATATTACTTATCTGTTTTCTTATCTAAAAAGACTTACAGAAGTATCTATATCATAGTGTTGTGATAAAGACAAAAGGCGATGACATTATAAAAATAATCTGAGCAGTGCCTATGCCTACATATAATCCACGTTTAATAAATGTTGTCATGATTCTTATTTAGAGATAAAGTTCCAAATGTTTAAGTGATTCTTCCAAACCTCAAATTCTTTTATTTTTGCCATGCAATGCTATTTATGAACTTTTGTGGACTAATGTGGTCAGGTGCAGTTATTAAAACACTTCATAAAAAATAAATGGCAAGGTTATATTTCCAGGACACTCAAAATTTCCAAGAAAGCCACAAGGAAATAATAACAATGTTAAAATTGAGAGATTTAACTTATGTGGCAATTTGAAAACTAAAAATCAGTTCAGTAAAATTTTAATAAATTATATTTACTCTGCACATCAGATTCCGGTCATTAATGGCCATATTATCATTTTATATTGTACAAATTAGTTCTGGATCCTGTTTACAGAATTCACGGTGACATAAGGTGGTCACATTTTCTCTCTCCCACGTCTTTTTCCTTCCCACCAATAGCCTCTGGAGATACTAGCAAAGCAGTATACTACGGAACTTGACTAGAAATTGCTGTATGCTCATAAAACTTCGGTACCATCTATGGCACTTACCAAGATGGTAGCCGGTTCTGATGAAGTTATAACTTTGCTTACTTTAACGAATGGCATAAAAAATCTGCATTTATTTCTCACGATGTCTCCCTCTACCCTCAATGTCGAAACCCCTGGAAGCTGGAACAATGAGAAAATTTTAACATTTGATTCCTAAAATAGGGCAGCCTTGGGATTGGTTAATTCGTAGGCTTACGATATCATCAAGGATTTACATTCTGTTTGCTCTGGTATCTGGAGGGCTCCCATCATCGGCCAAGATGGCTGCCACGGGTCTAGATATCACTTACAATATTCAGGAGAAAAGGAGGACGGATCTCTTGCTGTGTGAATCTTTTAATCAGAAGAAGTTCTTCAACGTTCCCAGTATAATTCTCTTCCGGTCATATTTTCCAGAAGTGCATTTTATACCCTTCCCTAAACCAAACATTTGTAAAGGGAAATGGGATTACCACGACTGCTGTGGCAGGAAGAAGCTAAAATGTTCTGTGATTACACTTCCGGGTATTCATAGTCTTGTGTATGTAGTTCCCTCCCCTTGAATGTGGGCTGGTTAGTGATTTACTTCTAACCAAAGCAGGCAGGAAAGGTGATGGGTGTCATTTCTAAGCTAGTAAGAGTGGGACTTCCTTCTTGCTAGCTGACTCCCTGCTTTACTACCTTTGATGAAACAAACTGCGGCGTTGGAGAGGCCCACATGGCAAGGAAGTAAGGCCTTGAAATGAGTTATGTGGAGGGTGGATACCTAAACAAAATTGAGTTTCTCTCAGAAAGAAGAAGGGGGAGGGTTACTTAATTTGGGGGTATGCAAGTAAGGTTGCCTACCCCAGGCCATGTAATCACTTTTACATTACGTATTTTAATAGCATAATCAAGGAACCTATTATACTAAGGGCATTGGAAGGAATTTACAAACATGTCTCCAAAATAGGAATATGTGCTATTTGTTTCCTACAATGTGTCCAAGTATAAAAATACATTTTAGAAGAAAATACCAAGTTCAAATATTAATATAGTGTTTACTGTATACTAGACAGAGCCCTAGTGGTGCAGTGGTTAAGAGCTCTGCTGCTAACCAAAAGGTCAGTTGGAATCCACCAGCAGCTCTTTGGAAACCCTATGGGGCAGTTCTACTGTGTCCTACAGGGTCAGTATGAGTCAGAATCTACTCAAGGAGTTTTAAATATTTTACATATGTTGACTCATTTAATTACCATTAAAACCTGAAAGGTATGTGCCACACTACTATCTACATTTACTCATGAGGAAACCGAGGCATAGAGTAGTTACCTCATTTACACACCTAGTCAGCAGTGGTTCATGATTTCAAACTGCAGCAGCTGGGTTTGAGAGTCTGGACTCTTACCCACTGTGCTCTTAACTGCTGCCTAATCGGTCAACTTGCTCCTCCCCTTTCTTCCCTCTACACTCAACACTCTTCTTCCTAATTGGGAAAAAAAACCCACAATTGTTGAAGCCAGTCCTCCGGGGAATTTCCAATCTTCTAGAAAGATTTGAATAATACTCTGAATTGTTTGTAAACAGAAAGCACTTCGGCTTTAAAGCTAAGTATAAAAGATTTCTAATTGAAAAAAAAGTGCTTTCGAATCTAACGTCACCTGGATCCAACTTTGGGACTTCATATAGCTTGTGGATGGGATAATTTTAGGTGCACAGGACAAATCTAAGCCATGTTCCTGAAATCCAGATTGTTTCTGAAGTTTTTAGGTTGGATACTATAGCAGGTTGGGGTCAGTGGGTTTGAGTATTTGACCACAAACCAAACAGTCATCAGGATCCAGATACTCTCAAGTAGCCGATAGTCAAAGCCTTCCCTCCTTGTATCACTTGCATTTTAATCCTGTTCTCAGACCAGCTTAAAAACCCTGTTGCCGTCACTCATTGCAACCCCATAGGACAGAGTAGAGCTGTCCCATAGAGTTTCCAAGGAGGCCTGGTGGATTCCAACTGCCGACCTTTTTTGGTTATCAGCTGTATCTCTTAGCCACTACACCACCAGGATTTCCCAAACCAGGTTAGTGGTTTCATTATTTTCTGGTTATTCTTCTGTTTTATTTTATTTTTTTATTGTTGCTGTTTTACAAAAATAAGCAAATTCATATACCTCTGTAAATACAGTCTTATTTCTCCTACCTTACACAAAATTTAGCATATTATATATACTCATTTCCACCTTACTTTTTTCACTTATCAGTATATCCCAGAAATCATTTTACACATTAGTTCATATTGCTCTTTTTGTTGTTGTTGTTTTGCTTAATTTGACAGTTGCGGAGTATGCCATTAGGCGGATATACCTTAGTTTATTTAGATTGCCTCCCGTGTATGGGCACTAGGTTTTTTCCAGTATTTTGCCATTACAGATAACGCCCAATGGATAACCTTGTATGTGTGGGGTTTTTTCTTTTTTTGTTTTGGTTGGTTTGTTTTTTAGTTTGTGGAGGTATATTTGCAAGTAAATTCCTATAATTGGGATTGTTGGATCAAGGATAACTACGTATGTAGTTTTGATACATATTCCCTCCTTCCTTGCCCTCATCCTCCATAGAGGCCATAAGAAGAATTTTAAATTTAGCCTAATTCACCAGCATCCACACAGCTCCTTGTGATGGAATTCTACTGGCCGGACTGTTATGAGGCAAAGTAACAGCAGACATCAAAAAAGCAGCTGTACTATGAGGTTCAAGTCAATTCAGATTAACAAATATATTGAGTGTGTACTTTGGTTCAGTCACCATAGTTGACTGTAATGATAAAGATAAACATGTTTACAACCCTCTGGAAACTTCATCAATGGAAAAGAAAAAAACATCCAGAGGGGCCAGGAAGAACACTTCTCTGAACATATGGTATAGCTGAGGATTGTGGAGACTTCACCGAGGTAGATGATGGCTTAGCTTAGGAAATAAGTGGTCAGGAATGAGATGCCTTGTTGCCACAGAGATTTTACTGGTATTTAGTTCATTTAACAAGCCTGCATACTCAGGAAGGGCAGTGATGGTTCAGTGGTAGATTTCTTGCCTCCCACGCGGAAAACCCGGGTTCAATTCCCAGCCAGTGCACCTCATGCACAGCCGTCACCTGTCTGCCAGTGGAGGTTGTTGCGTTGTTATGATGCTGAAGAGGTTTCAGCAGAGCTTCCAGGCTAAGACAGAATAGGAAGAAAGGCCTAGTGACCTACCTCCAAAAATCAGCCAATGAAAACCCTATAGATCACAAGGATCTAATCTGAAACCAGTCATGAGATGGCACAGGAACAGGCAGCATTTTGTTCCGTTGTGGATAGGATCGGTGCGAATCTGGGGCTAACTCAATGTCAGCTAACAACGACAACGATAGACTCAGCTGAGGAAAAACATCACATTTCTAGAACTAAACCAAACCAAACTCTTTGCTGTCTGGTCGATTCCTACTCATAGCGACCCCATGGGACAGAATAGAACTGCCCTATAAGGTTTCCAAGGAGCGGCTGGTGGATTTGAACTGCTGACTTTTTGGTTAGCAACCAAGCTTTTCACCACTGCATGCATTTCTAGATTTTCTTTAACAAATGGTGCTGGCATAACTGGATATCCATCTACAAAAAACTGAAATAAGACCCATAACTCACACCATGTACAAAAAACTGACAGAAAATGGATCAAAGACTTAAATATAAAATCGAAAACGATAAAGATCATGGAAGAAAAAATAGGAACAACACTAGGAGCCCTAACACATGGCATAAACACAATACGAACCATAAGTAACAAGGCACAAGCACCAGAAGACAGACTAGATAACTGGGAGCTCCTAAAAAATTAAACACTTGTGCTCATCAAAAGACTTCATCAAAAGAGTAAAAAGACAACCTACAGACTGGAAAAAAAAATTTGTCTAGGACAAATCCGATCAGCATTTAATCTCTAAAATCTACAGGATACTGCAAAACCTCAACAACAAAAAGACAAATAACCCAGTTAAAAAATGGGCAAAGGATATGAACAGGCACTTCGCCAAAGAAGATATTTAGGCCGCTAACAGACACATGAAGAAATGCTCACGATCTTTAGCCATTAGAGAAATGCAGATCAAAACTACAATGAGATATCATCTCACCCCAACAAGGCTAGCATTGATCCCAAAAACACAAAATAACAAATGCTGGAGAGGTTGTGGAGAGACTGGAACACATACACTGTTGGTAGGAATGTAAAATG